TGAAAAATATAATATCTGACGAGTAATAAAGAATACATACACACACATATAAAATCTAAGTATTTTGTCCTTTTTCTCATTCATATACAACTAAAATTTTCAAGTACACAAAAAAGTATCTTCATATTACAAGAAATGGTAATACAAAAAAAATAACCAAAATATATAAATGGATTATAAATGGATAATTGGTTTTTATTTAATCCATTTAGATCCATCCATTTAGATCCATTTATTAAATGGATCTAAATGGATTGGATAAATTTCATCCACCATCCATTAAGTCAAAACCAATTATGAACCATTTATCCATATTGCCACCTCTAATTAATAGAGTCCCTGGATTTATTTAGGTCAAAATGGTTCTGTTATAATAAGATTGGCTTTATTTGAAGAAACATTAGGTTTGATTAAATTATAATTATAGGGTCATTCTTAAAATAACTTATTTTCAATTTAAGCAGGAAGGCTATTTAATTTGAAATTAGTCCAACTCCAAAATTTTTGAACCACAATACAAGTTTTTTATATACTTTAGCTACCCTATTCTAATTGACCCAGACTTCAAGGGCTAATTTGCAATTTGCAACAATTCCGAAAACTGGACCAAATCAGCAGTCTTCTTCTTCGTCTTGTTACTAACAAACCATCCCCACGAAAACAAAAGACATGACCAATCTTTTATTTGTATTGAAAACTTAGGAACAGAATAACCTTAAGGTATTGAATTATTTAATTATTTTCTTCCTCCATTCCAGCAGTAAAACCAAGAATTAACCACCAGTACTTTGTCCTCTTAATTCATATAAATGGTGGCCTTGCCTTCAAGTGCCCCTTATGCCATAAAATTCCCTCTATTCTCTAACCAAACCCCAATGACAGGCAGAACCATAGAGGTAATTCAAAAAAGGAAATCATCAATTCCTCTCGAACATTATATAAAGCATGGTCCAGTTACTTTACCTTTTTCATTGGTTTGAGCATTCTTCTGACTTTTTACAGTCAAACTAGTAGTATTATTAACCAGAAGGAAATCGCATGGCTTATGAATTTTCATAATTTAAACAAAAACACTTAGATAACTCACAAAACTTGTACCGAATATTTCAGGATTGCTGCAATGGTTCAGACTCGTATAGTCGCGGCCCTACAATTATGGGCACAAAAGGGCAGACTTGTAGCATATAATGAAGCTAAAAATGTTGCAAGTTAAATACAAAGATTGCCAAGAATTCACGCATATACAACATTGAATATAATGTCTAGACCTCTGGTGTTTTGTCTTTCATTTTCCGCCTTCAGGTCATCTTTGAGAACATCGGTAAATATTTTGTGGGCTTTCGGCCAGGTGAGGTGTCCATTTGGAAACCCTTGATAAGCTACCTCAGGAAATGGTAAAAGGATTAAGAATTCAGCCAATCAATTTTCCAGGGTCAGCTTGTGTAGTTTTCATGTTTGCTCTTATAGTGCTAACAATGATTGTTAATCCAATATGCAGTATATGCTGCTCTTTTAAGAGGGTTAAAACCACTAGCGGAACTAGAAGTTAAGAATAAGGTTTTAGACGCAATATTAGGAAGGCTGTTCTTTTAAGAAAATACTCTTGTATATTTTTGAAAATTTGTGGGGCAAATTCTAATATTGAGATGAAACATTTTAAGGAAATGTTGAAGGATTTAAAAAATTTGGGGCAATAAAATCTAATTTCTACTAGGTATAAATGAAAATTACTATAATTTTAAGGGCCACCAATGGATTTTTGAAATCTTGGGGGGGGGGGGCAGCACTCCCTCCCCGCCCCCATTAGAACGGCCGATGGTTAATACCACTAACAGCTTTATGTATTACACATAAGAGAGGATATTGTTAATTCTTGACAATTAAGTATTTAAATTCTTTTTCGTCTTCCCAGTTTAGTCCAATTTGCAGTTTAATCATTGTAAATTCTTGATGCCATTTGCGTTGCAACGGAGCCAGGATTTTTTTTTGGGGGGTCCAAAATTTTTTCCTAATAAAATTATCTTAATATATTATGTTCAAAATAATTTTCTTCTATTTAAATATATGACATCTAAAAATATCAAATATTAAATTTAATTATAAAGGTATGTCTATTCATAAATATGCGTTACAGTCATAACAAAAACTATCAAAAAAATAACTTTTGATTAAATATCTTATAACATCACAAACCATCCAATTTGCACATTATGAGAAGATGCTCTCCAATATGTCACTTGTGCAATAAATATATATATATATATATATATAACCATGTAATATAAATGTAAATATTTTCAATTGAAAAAAGATAAAAGTTATGATAACATACTTTGAAATTTCAACATCTTTTCTTAGAAGTAAATTGAGTTCTACGCACTTTCATAGAACTAAATTCATCTATGATTGAATCACTGCTAAATTTTTCAGCAACTTCCTTTTCTATATACACAGTTAGACAATCATTCAAAAAATTATCTTCCATCTTGTTTCGGAGTTTTGTCTTGATTATTTTCATAATTGAAAACGCCCGCTCTGTAGTTGCAATTGATATAGGAAGAGTAAGAACAAGTCTAGTCAATCTGTCAATAAGAGGATATATCACTGATTTTCTTATCTTCACCAAACCTTGACATAACTCATGAATACCAGATAATTCATGCAATTCAGGATGATTTGGAATGTCGTGCTCAAAATGTTGAAGTTCTATTCTTAGACGTACTAATTCTTGCTCCATAAAATCATTCGGATAGAACTTCTCTGCAAGTTTACAAATATAATCAATCTTGAACAGCATAAATCCATTTTTAGGATCTAAAGCAGTGCTCAAAATAAGCAATTCCATGGTATGATCATTAAACCTGCTATGTAACTCTTGCAATTAATAATCAATTGTTGCAAGAAATATATCAACTCGATGACTAATTCATATATATATATATATATATATATCAACTCTCGTAATATAAACTAAAATTGTAAAAATTTAGAGGGGGTCAATTTTATTTTACACATATATTTACATATTATGAATTAAAATTTTCAAAACTGAGGGGGGCTATGGCCCCCCTCTGCCCCCCTTGGCTCCAATAGTGTCGGAAGAAAGCCATAGCGATTTTCAAGGAGGAGTTGGAAAAGCGTAAGGATGGCTGGATGGAATGAGACAAAACCAAGAAACGATTTAATGGATTATGTGGGCTGTGTATTTTATAGGCAAATATACCCCAATGTCTTGAAAAAGCTTCAGGTACATTCTTGTTATCACACGTTACTTAATTCTTTATTTTATTTTATTTTTTCTTTTATTTAAGGAGAGACTCCAAATCTTACTTAATTCCTTGTGGAACAGTCGGGATTGTCTAATAATACCCTGAAAACCCATTGAAATGCAGGAAGAGCACAAATTTATCACAAAAAATGGAGATATGATTACTAGTGATGGCATCCAAAAAATGAAATGCACAAACAAGGTAATATATCAAAAGATTGAACGGAATGTATAAAGTTTCAGAAATTCATTCCCTTCCATATCAACTTTGCTGATCATATATAGGATTATTGGTGCATTTGAGCAGGTTGTGGTAGAAGCAAATAATAAGATTAGCCAATATTGCTATAATTCCTGTTCCGGACAGCACGAAAAGAAGTTGACTACAAAGGTATTATAAATCTTCCTCAGTTGACTGTCGTCATCCGTTAGGTATATACATAGGGATTCAAATAAAGAAAAAAAAAATTATTTTCCGTTTAAGGCTTTGATTACGCATGCATATAAGTATGAAAAAGAACCGGAGAACTTTTGATATTTTAGTTGATTCCGTTATAAAATATAAAATTCGTCGTTTTGACATTCTAGTCCAAACTATAAAGGGTTATATATAACTTTCGAAACCATGCGAACATAATTCCTTTGTCGTTAATATAGAGCCAAAGTGTGTGATGTTTGCTTGAATTTTTTGACTACCTGTAAAGAAGCAAATTTTAGATGTAGAAGACTGTTTATGCAGCAAATTTAACTAATGATTGATATAGGTGCATTTCTCAGTGCTGTGATCAATATTAGTGGCTTTGTGATGGTTTGGCAAGTAGAAATATATTGTTCATTTTTTATGACGTACTTCTTGTTATTTTGCTGGTTGCTGTCATAGGGGTGTGCATCGAATTCAAATTCAGTAATTCGAAAGTTTGAATTCAGAATTTTTCGAAATTTTGGCATAGGAATTACCGATCAATTTCGATTTCGAATTCACCACTTCCAATTTCGATATCGATTTCGAATTCAATTGGGAATTCGGTAAATGGAAACCTTTTTGCCCTTTTTTTCTTTTTTGTTAGATGTATTGTTATATAATATAAATTTTATATTGCATATATTATATATAAATATATTATAAAAATACTATTATATATATAAATATATATTAATATACATATTAAAAAATGAAATTGAAATAAAAATTATTATTATTATATATATAAATATATAAATATTAATATATATATGTTATAAAACGAATTTCGAAATCGAAAATATCCGATTTCAAAAACTCCATTACCGAATTCGAACCAAATTCGCATAATTCGAAATCGAAAATTCCGATTTCAGCGCCAAATTCCAAATTACCAATTTCAAAATTTTCGAATTCGGTCGTTAAATCGGAATTTTTTGATTTTGCACACCCCTAACTGTCAAGAGAGGATATATCAGTATTGTGTTTTGAGTTTTTTTTTTTATGAGCATGAAATTTGGTTGCATGAGTTTATTTTCTTCTAGGTGGTTTGTGACTTGTAATATTACAAGGGTCATAAATATAAAACTTTTTATTGACACTACTAAGCATGTCACATAAGAGGGGATAAAACTAGGTTATTTAGCAACCTTTTGTGACTAGCACCCGTTCAAGTCAGATATATTTATTATTTATTTTCTTTGGTAAATCAAAAAAGAAATATATATCCAACAATAGAATAGCGAAATAGAAATTAAAGAATCCGGAGAAACCAAAAAATAGAAATAACGCATCTGGTGTTAAAATTGAAAGCGTATAGGAAGCATTTCTTCTACCGTCTTTCAATGTCTCATTTTGGGTTTTATCTTTTCCTCTCCGTCCGTATCAATGGCCGTATCAACCTTTTTCAATCTCTCTCTTTTTCCTCTTAGCATTTTCCAATTTTCCCTCCGTATCAAGCTCTGAGAGTTTTTCAATTTTCCTTTGACCAATTTAGCTTTGACTTCGAACTGAAACCATTGCAGTGGACACTTGGGAATTTTGTTTGCTCTGAGAATTTTCCAAAATCTGGATAAGGATCGAGATTCTTCAGGTTTTTAAGCTCATTTTTTTATCAATCCTTTTTTACTTGTTTTGCTGTTTTTTTTCTGGAATTTTGAACTGTTTTTCTTTACATTGTATCTCACTGTAAATTTGTAAAGTAGGAATTTCTTATTTCCTCATAATTCATGATTTTGTTTTCGGATTTTTCAGTTCGATGATCTTGTTTGTTTGTTTTCCTAATAAGTTGATGAAGTTTGATTTATTTTCAACAAAATTGATGCGGTGAAATTAGGTCTTCGATGCAAGTACAAGAGCTGAGGTTTAGTAGAAAAACCATGGTTGAAATTAGGTCTTGGATCATGTGTATGAAATTAGGTTTAGTACAAAATTGTTCCAAAGTTCTATTTCTTGCTATATATTGTACAAATATTTGAATGCGATACTACGGTTCTATCAGTTGTTTCTTAAAGTTAGAAATTGTCAATAGAATTGATACTACTCTATTATTTTTGTATTTAGTAGGCAATTTATCATATTGTCATTGTATTAATGGAATTTGGCACAAATTTACTTTAAATTTCAGAATTAGTAGTCTCTTATGTTCATATAGGTAAACTCATGATAGATTACTACCACATGTCTCTATGCTTGTTTGAGCAATGTATTAAGTAGTTGTGCATGAGCTATCAAATTCAGACTCCTGTGGTTATTTTTTGTTGATTAGGTGTGTACCTATGTCTTTGCTTTTACAAATTTTTTATGAAAAAAAATTGAAAATTAAATCAGTGATCTCCATTCCTAATAAATCTTAGAATACAAATATGAACCGGTGATTACTAGCACTCATAATTTGGAGTAGTAATATCAGTTACATAAGAATTAAGGTACCATTTGTTCTTTATAGATGGAATTTGACTGATTGCTTGAATTTGGAAAAATATAATTTTAAGACTCAAAACATATTCAAAATGATTAACTGTTCATGCTACTGTTTTAAGATTTTAACTCAAATTTTCGTCGATTTGTTGGATTATATTTTAAAGTTTGGTCCTATATATTATTAGCCTTTTACCTTGTTTTTTTTTGGTTTGTACATATTTGCTTATATATATATTTTCCTTTATGAATTCAAAACACATTGGCTCTCCTATTATTAGCCTTGGGTTGTCTAGTATTTATGGACAACGTTTGAGTGTGACTCTGTTTATTTAGGTTATGCTATTAGATCATCAGCCTATATTCTAAGTTTCCGAAGTCTTTAGTTGCCACTGTTGCAGTTGTGCTGCACTTAAGTGTGGTCTTATGGACTATGAGGTATATTTTCATAGCCAGTTGGTTTTCGTATCATAGATTGACAGTGGCTCTGTTTTGTATTGAATGTTTGTTCATATGAATACTTTGATTCTTCTCATATGTTTGATCTAATAATTCGAAAAATTGAAATTCAATATTTTCTGGTAAACTTAAGGATGCTCCTTGATTACTTTAGTACTTGTACAAAAATAGCCCAGAAATTAGACATTAGGATACTTTGTTTACATCTTTCTTTCTGTTAACTTGAATTCTATTATTAGTCTAGTCTTCACAAAACATTTTGGTTGGCACTCATTTGTAGTTTTTATGAAGACGTGTTTCTGCGATTTGCTAACAAGTGCTAGCTGTGCAGGATTAAAGGTGTCAATTTTGATGTTTTGTAAGGTCCATTAGCTTGAACTTGGCATTTGAATTGTTTATTTCTGTGGAATCTGACCTCTAGGGACTAGTTCATGATTATCAATGGAAATATTGTCAAACTGACTACAAACATGGAAAATTTGTGACAGTTGAATTTAGCGTGAGATATAGCATGCTGAATTTTCTATAGATGCATAATCTTCTGCACAAAAGGGTAGCTTGTAGCTTCAGTTTATTGTTCAATACAGATGTGTTGCCAGCTTGTAGTATGAGTTAGTGTAAGCAGCGGTTATGGTGATCGGGTTTCTTTAGAGGGATCTGAAATGAGGGGACTTGTAGGGATCAGGGTGGTGGGGAAGGGAAATGTGTACCCATTTATGGAAATTGATGAATGCCATTTGTGTTGTCAATTTTCAATTTATGTTAGTTTTCATGAATTTGGTGTTTTTGTTTTGTGTTCTATGGTGATTTGAATCATTTCTATAAGTGGAATTTTACATATATATTTTTTAATTGTGAAAATTGATGGTTTTCCTGCCATGTTTTTCCCTCTCTTCGAACAAGTAATATTGTTTTTGCTGCATAATGATGGTAAAAATATAGAGCCAAAGTGTGTGATGTTTGCTTGAGTTGTTTGATTACTTATTAAGAAGCAAATTTTAGATGTAGAAGACTGTTTATGGAGCAAATTTAACAAGTGGTTGATACAGGTGCATTTCTCGGTGCTCTGATCAATATTAGTGGCTTTGTGATGGTTTGGCAAGTAGAAATATTGTTCATTTTTTATGACATACTTGTTGATATTTTGCTGGTTGCTGTCAAGAGAGGATATATCAGTATTGAGCACGAAATTTGGTTGCATGACATTATTCCCTTCTAGGTGGTTTGTGACTCGGGGAGACCCTGGTGTCCTGCAGTGGGAAAAATTTCCTGCAACTGCATAGGGAATTACTGCAGATAGAAGTATTCCTAGAATCATTGATGTTCTCATCATTGTGGATCTATTTTGTTCAAGTCGAAGTTACACTGAGGCTATTAGATTGTTTCTTTCCTATTTGTTATAATGTAGGAAATGCACTTATCAATGATGTTTTCGGAAGCAATTTTACTGCATTGTTGATTCTGTCCATGTGATTTGCCTCTTTGCAAATGCGAAGCAGGGCATAGCAGAGAAAGATATGAGGACAGGGATCAGTATTTTAGTGCCCTTTTCTGTAGACGAATCTTCCTTGGATATGTTATTATATTTGCTTATGTTATATGAAGCAAAGCATAGCAGCTGTGAAATTATATTTGCTTTAGTATTATGTTCTTCCTTTTCTCTAGTTGTTGATGGGTGTTGTGTATTGGTTGCAGGTTTTCTTTCTTTTTATTAGTTTCTAGTACTGCTGCTGCTGCAAAAAAGAAAGCTGATCATCTGATGGCGGAGGTAACCATGCAACTTTCTAGTTCTAACTTTCTGGTTCTAAGATACATGTCACTGACATCATTCATTTTCCATTTTATGTAAAGGTTGAAGCAGTGATCAAAGGTGATGCGCCTGTGTCTGTGCCTGTGCCGCTGCCTGTGGTACCTGAAGGTGATGTGACTGCAGCAATTGTCAATGCTACAGAAACAAGTGAGACCAGAATGAACGGTTCAAGCCAAACATTCAATGGGGTCTTGGAAGCAGGTCAAGGTAGAACAGGTGTTTCAGGCCAAGCATCCAAGAAGGAAAGCGAAAGCAGCCAAGCCATCTTGCCCTGGGTCATATTCGGGGCGGTGGCAGTTGGCGTGGCTGCTGCGGCTACCATCTATGGGGCTGTTGTTTTCGCTAAAAAGAGCAGTGAGACTCTTGAAAGTGCTGATAAGCTCTTCAAGAGTCTCACTGCCTTGGCTAAAAAATGGGCAGCCGCGCCTCCTGCTGATGTCCACATTGACAAAGTACTTGTCAATGTGGACCACACGCGGTAAAAGCGGTGCTAATTGGACACTGCAAAGTTTCACTTCTTAATGTACTGTTTACATATGCTGCAAAATCTTTGAGGTTATATTTTTGCAGTTTTATTAAGCAATCAAAATAGTAGATTGCTGAGATCATTAAGACAGTTTGATACACCATTTTGTCCGCAGGTGCTATCCGGAATATATGATTCCTATTTGGTTGTACTACCTTGTGAGTAGTACAGAAAGATCGGAATACCAGTGACTTAAAAAATTTTATTCTTCGATTCTTATGATTTACGTAAGACCAAATTTTTTGTTTTAAGTGTCAATTATAGCATAAAACTTTGATGCATTTTCAGTGCTATGACCTAATCAACAAGTAACATAGTCATTTTACAGAAAGATTTTGTGTACTATTTGAATGATTTAATAGATTGCCAAAACCATTGGCCTAAATATTTTGGAACAAAAGCTAGACGGAATGATCTAAGAAACAGAAGACTATTCCAAACTTAAAAAAGTTAAAAAGGAGCAAATCAGTTTGCTATAACATGAAAACATATATAGATCTATTTATGATTCAATTGGCAGTTTCGGAGGAAAGCTTTAGCAATTTTCAAGAAGAGAGGGGTAAGCGCAAGGCTGAGAAAAATCCTAAGAAAGATATACAATGGATGGTCTAATCATGCAGCCGAAAGATGAGAAAGGCAAGCAATTACATGAGAACCCCAAAAACAATTAATTAGTGAAATGCTCCAAATATTGATGCACATTTAATTCAAATGCAAATCATGTTAATTTAATTGAACCCCAAAACAAAATCATGAGGTAAGAATATGACTTATGAGACCACGAAGCGTTATTTTAACGTACTTGTTGGCCACAATCTTCTTCTTTTTTTTTAAGAGTCTATCAGAATACATTCTCGAGAAATTGGAAGAGGTGGCATTGCGTAAGTATCAGAGCAATTAGGTTCGTTTTGCTATATTTCGTTTAGCAATTAATTAGTGTAAATTTTAATATATGATGTACTCAAAACATTAACTTTATGTACAGAAACAAAATTTGAGCATAAAATAAATATTATATGCAAGGAGGTACACTTAATTACTTAGTCATGCTGTCGTACAGAATCCCATTTCAGGATACATATTTATTCACTTTGTTTTAGAGAATTATTATTGTAAATTAAAGAAATTTCATTCACCGCAATACATTTAATTGTATTCTTTGATTATTTTTTTGAGATAATAATACTAATTTCATGTATAATTAATTGTTTTTAAGGAAATAGAAGGTATATATGCATATATTTAATAATATCAAGCGTATTTATATCTATATTTACTTATTTTTTTATATGATTATATATGTAATTATGAACCTAATCAAATAGTTCACGAACGAATTCATGTTCGACTCATTTGCGTTCGAAAAAAGATTCAATTGTATAATAAACGAATCAAACTCAAACACAATATTAGGTTGTTTTGCTATTTTATTTTGCCCTCTTCTCTCTTTTCCTTACGAGTTAAAGCCGTAGATGAAAACGAATAAAGACAAGTTAAACCAGTTAAAATGACAAAGATAAGAGGAAAAGTTGGATTGAAACAGAAGAAGAAGAAGAAGACTTTTAAATGGAACTTAATCCATGCAAGATCCAATTTGCAAAAGGTATGGACTTCAAATCTTTAGTAACTAAAATGTAATAAGCAGCAAGATGTCAGCACCATGAACACACCCCCCCCCCCTTCTTTTTTTTCTTTTTGTAATTATCGCACCGTAAACATGTACTTATTAGATCATATCAAGGTTGATGAACTCTTCAAAGTCATTATGAAGTTCAGTTCTACTGAATCCTCTACTGCTATCACAAAATAACTTATGCTACAAAGGATTGAGACTCCTTAGTAAAGCACTTAGCTGGCCACATGTAAATTACAAACATGGGCATAGATAATCAATCACCTTCACCAACACCAGGGAAAGCCGGAACAAGAGTACAGCAGTAGGGGAGAAATAACTCGGTAGGCAGCTCTCCTGAGTGAAAGAGATTTGACCTTTTTATGTTGCATAGTGATACACCAGGAGGTATACTTCTAACATTGTTCCGTGCACGCTAGTTGCGAAAAATCACCTGCACTTTGCTAGAAAGGGCATGCTCCACTAGTTGTTTATAGATCAGCTGGCGCTCCGCATCATCCATCACATAATCTGTGTACCGTGTCCATTTGTATTCTGCAGAATAAGTACTGTACGCCGAGCCAATAAACACTCGATCCAAAGCCGGAGCACTTTGTAGCAAATAAACAACAAATTCAATCTCACAACCGGTTCCATGAAACCCTGTGTATTCCAGTTCTTTCAAGTGACTATAATGCCTTGCAGGCCATGCCCCTCCTAAATGTTCACTAACACCAGGCCATCTAGCCTGGAGCCATAAGAAAATAACCCCATCAATTTATGTGTCAAACTAACAAAAATGTTGTGCACATATTTAATTTGCTGCAGCAAAAAGATTTGCTTCATAGCAAATACTCTGCAAACACAATCTACCTAGTTCTAGCAGACATTCAGAGATTCACTGCATCAAACAGACATTGTTTCCATGTAAAGCTAAGCAACTTTCCAGCACATAAATGTTTCAAACAAAACCTTGAAAAGAATTCCAAGAATAGTTCATGATCACTTCAATTTTGAACAAGCTGAGACCTGAGACATGTACAAGTAAGAACCTCATCCTGCCAACAGATGGGGGCGTGGAAAACAGAAGGTAGATGGGTAAGACAACCACTTTCAGTTGTCAGTTAAATCTCCAAGTCAACGTTGAAAACCTATAAAACTGATGTTGCTCTTATAAATTCTCTGCATTTATGTCAGCTCAAATGCATAGCTTGCTTGCAAGATAGTAAATTATCTCAACACTAGTCATCGGTGTTTATAAAGAGAATGCACTAAGATAATAAATAAACAGCAACTACAAACAAGCATTATGTTTAGCATACATAATACCAAAGGATGTGCACGCATGTGCATGCTCTTTTAAGTAGACATCCTTAGGTTGCCATCCCCCAGCATAGAGTACATTAAAGGTCCCAATCTTTGTTCAGGCTGTGTGGTATGTTTTGAAGCCTGAGAACCATAATTAGTTTCCAACTACTAAAACATGCACATCCAAAAAAAAGATTTGACCTAAGACAGATTACACTTAGCAGAAAAGGTAGGAACAAAGCCAAGTTTCCAACCCCAACAAGAACAACTTCAGCAAAGAAAGAGTTGGCAAGAAAGGGGGAAAAAATCGGTTCTCTAGGTTAACAGAACAGTAACAGTCTAACTGCAAACCAATTGAGACAGGAATGATTAGTTTTCGACAACACTAAATACTAATTGAAGGCTACATATTTACACTGACATCATTTACCTAACATTGGGAATGCACTTAATAGTGATAAACAGATATCTCAAGGAAGTTTTACTCGACAACTAGTGCCTCATTTCACAATGCAGAGTGCTAAGTTGGTACAATTCATCATGAAAAAGTGTGGAATCAAGTTCAGTAACCCTTTTGAAATGTTGTTACAAAATCCTATCATTAGTTTCTGAAGTCTACTTACTAAGTACACAAGACAGAGAGAAGCAAATCCCAAAACTGAAGCACGACACTCATAATATTTTCTTTGAGCACAAGGAAACTACCACGCTTCAATTTTGCAAATTTCAACCAGTGCTTTTCCTTCTACAGATTCAAAATTTTATACAAGCAGTATATAGTGAAGTACCAAACCCTAACAAAGGGAGATGCAGTTCCCACTACAGGGTTGTCAAAAGGCTAGAACTCACCAGGAGATACAGTTTCTCTAGAAGTGGGCATGCGTCCAGAATAGTGGCAACACTTTGTAGATCTGCTTCAAACTCAAATATCATCAACAAATATAACATCCTCAGGTTTCTGAACATATTCATCGTGGCAGGCATGTGTCCAAGCTGAATCAAACAAAGGGAAGAAGTGTCAGCATTTAAACATGCAAATATGTAGCAAAGAAGAACTATTATAGATGGTGTCCATACGAACCTCATTAGTTTTAGTCTGGAGCATAAAAAGGTCTAACGCTGGACAGTCCTTTACAACTTGACCAAACAAATAAGTCACTACGCCAATGCCATTACCACTGACTAACAACTCTTTCAGTTTGGGAACATAATGAAGCGACAATTCCACCATTTTATCGCTATATAGGTAAAAAAAAGACAGGTTGACAGCATGGATATCTATCTCTTTCACCCCAATACACAATTCAACGTGCAGTCTCTGCAATTTAAGACACTGACCAGAGATGCGTAACTTTGGAGGAAGTTTACAATTGCACAATGACAACTGCCGAAGGTTCACACAGGAAGCCAGAATGTGAGGCAATTCTCCATTGTCTAAAGGAACATTTATCAAATTTAGATACTGGAGGGAATTAAATTTGCCTTTGAAACTTGGTTGAAGGACACAGTTTAATAAATGCAATATTTTCAATGAAGTTGCTTCAAACAGCAGCTGAAGAGGCAAAGGATAAAGGTCCACAGAGCTATAGGGACCATTTTCATCATGACAAATAGGAGTACAAAACTTGAGCAGGAGTGATTCTACGCCTAAAGTGGCTATAGTTTGCATCCATCTATTATAGCTAGGGGCAACTTCATTTCCCAAACAACATATCAAATGAATATGAACTATCTTTTGACCAGAATAAAGCTGTAAAGTTTGATCTACTGCTTTCAAGAACCTATACTTGTGGCGACGGCTGCCAGTATGAATACGCTGACTCTCTCCACAAATCTTGCGGCAATCAAGGAGTAGCCTTGACCTTACTTGGCAAATATTGTTCCACCTTCTTGCTAAAATCCTAGTCCTAATGGCTTCGATCAAGTCCAACCGTGAAAGGATCTCAGAAAGAAGATCATCTGACAGTTGACTGATTCTATCCTCTTGTGCATCACCATAAGCAACCTAATTAAGACATGATCAGAAGATAAAATTGTGTGTCAAGAGCAACCAAACAAACTCACCATTAACTCTATGCCTACTGGGGGGTGGAATACACTTCCACCCAAACGTGACACTGTAGCAATAGCTTTATGTACGGAAAACATTTTCGTTTAAAAAAAATTAGCAATGAGTATGAAAACACAGTAATCCATACAAGTGAAAAAAAGGAACAGAAATTGCTCAAAAATTTTAAAGTATCAAAGAGTACAATATAAGTACCTTGAGAACATCTTGCTGATAATGGTTTTTTAAGAAGGCTATTGTTTTCTCCAACATGCCCGAAGAAGACATAATTGCCACTCCAATAGCAGCTGCTCCGGTCCCTGCCAGCACCAGTAAAGGTAGAAAAGCTTTCTGTCCAGAGCACCCCATTGCAGTTGCTAATACAACAAGAACCAAACCAAAAGAGTTGTAAAGTAAGAATAATATAACTTACTGACATAATGAACCTCCAAAACACACGATGATCAAGTATGTTCATCGAATTTACTTCCAAAAAGGCCAAAGGATGTGAATTTGCAGAGCCAGTTAAATTACCCGAAAGTAGAGGGAGGCTTTCCGCCCGGGGGGTGGGGGTGGGGGATCCACCATCAGATTTTTAAATACTCATTAGCTACCCTGAGAGTAACACTCATTCCACACTCAACCCAGAAAAAGAAATTACGAAAAGATGGGATTTTTCTATGTTGAAAGCATAATCTAATTGCAATACCACCGGACCATCACCAGTTAACTATCAAAACGAACCATTTAGTTCTGCTATACTCACATGTTGACATTATGAACTTCTAAAGACACTGTTTTACCTCCAAAATATATATTACCAAAAGTAATTCAGGAATTAAAAAGAAGAATAACCAAAGATGTGATTTTTATCAGTTCATAGGCATGTTTGACAAACATAAACCACCCTCAACTGCAAAACGCAATGAGATCGGGGAAAAAAATTCCAACACAAACACAAGCACACATTAACAACTTCCGAATTGGGATCCAATCATTGAAAACCAATCAAGATTCAATTTTTATGGGGTAACAGGCATAAAAACGTAACATAAGCCACCCCCAACCCCCAATTTATGAAAAAGAAATAACTTCAATATCTTAAATAAGAACAAATGTCCAACAGTTTCAGCTGCGGTTATTATTTGCCCTCCTCTTGGGATTATTTGAGCAGAGAAAAAAAAAAACAAAAAAGAGAAACACGAGCGAGAAATACCTCCACATAACATCTAGAAATTCATCTGCATAAATATGATACTCCCACTGGCCTGTGATTATTCTGCGAATTTATTTTTGGAGTACAACACAACCAAAAAATAATTAATTAATTGACTGAATACAGTAGTCTGCTTTGAGCATAATTAGGAGAGAAAGAGGATAGGAAAAAAACATGAGCACAAGAAGTTGGACCGTAGAAGAGAATCAACAACAATGGGAAATTAAGGGGTGTTTATTTCAATTGCACAAGTACAAAGCAGGGGAAACCTTAAGGAAAAGGGATTCCTAAACAACGTGAACTGGAATTAATATGGTTAGAAATTTTTTTTTTCCTTTTTTTTTGGTGATTTTTGTGTACTCTCGGTCTGTGGGACGAGGGGCCACCGTCCCAAGCAGTTCACGGCTGGATGAGACCTCAAAAATTTGTGCGGCTCAGATCACGTTTTATAACTCGATTTTCACGCCGTGTGGGACCCACAAAAATGTTGTTTTATTTTACTCGCTGTTGTTCTATTGTTACACCTTGTACAGATGATGTTACACCATGTACAAATAGTGTTACACCTTCCGGAGTGGTTGTTCTGACAATCGCTCCAGCCCCGCGTCCCGGTCTGTGACCCTATCCACAGACCGATTGGTTCACGTCATCACTTTAATTAAATATTGAGACAATCGATCCTAATACAGTTGACTTTTCATGCGACCACCAAACTAAACCTTCTCCCTGTCATGATGTCATAAATATATTTAATTTTAAAAATTAACATATTATATAAAACTTTTAAAAACATAGTAATATTAAAAAGGTTAGGTTCAATGTATGTTATGTTTGATATTTTTAAGATACTATACAAGAAAATACAAATAAAGTAGTATAATTAAGTAGCAATTTATGCAATTTACAATTTTATGCGTATTCAACAAGTTTAGAACCAAATTGGAGGGCTTATTTGAAAATTACTACAAGAATTTAGGGCTGTATCTATAAGTTCTAAAATATTTCTAGGTGTAATAATAGTTTTCTAGTACTTAGGGGTCAAATCATAAAATTGATAAAATGTTTCTGGGTAAATTTTTTACTTTCTTTTTTTTTAAATATATTTTATCCCTTTTGAACTTAGATCTCCCATTGGAGTTGTCTAAGAGAGATTTATGATAGGTTATGTGAAGAGATTTGAGAGTAATTAAAAGAAAGAATCAAAAAAGGTCAAAAAAGAAAAGATAGAAAAAACTTGACTCGAAATTATTCTTCTGATTTTCAGTCAAACTCAATTATCGAATTTTTGTTTGACGGGTTTTTAGAACAACTTGGACCAGATGCCTACCCAGTTCTTAGTTCAACCGGTTGAACCGATTGGTTCGGTCCAAATTTCAAAACACAGGTGATGACAATGAGGCAATAATTATGGTGGGAGGGGGAGGAGGGGTGGTTTGGGGTTGTTGGCATATTAAATCAAAACTCAAGATATTATTATTTAGTAGTGTTTTAGTGATGTTAGGGTTTTAGGAATTGTATTAGATTCAATTCAAGTTATGGTAGTTTTATTATTCAGGAAATAGTTTGTTATTAGGAAATTTCTTGAGGTGTAAGACTTATTTATCAAATCATCTAAATCTATAAATAGTTACTCATATTAATGCGTGAGTCGAGAGAAGAGTAGAGTGAAACTTTAAGAGACTTGTTATTATGGCATGCGATTAATATATTATTGTTTATATTTATTCTTCTTTTCTAAATTGCCTCCCGTCTACATTAGTTCTATGAAATTTATCTCATCTATTTTTTTGTTAAAATGTTTTGGCTTCTACAAGAAATTGATCTTGGGGTGCCTGTGAACATTGAAAATGGTCCCGACTATGAGGTTAGTTCTGAGTGCTTTCCATTGTCAAAGTTAAAGTATAAGAATTACTGTGAAGAAATTAGTTGATCGAGTTAACCCACAAGGCTAGTCAGGGAGTATGCAGTTGCTAAAAATTGGACCATAAGATTGGTCTGAGAATTGCCAAATTGATTGTGGTTGTGAGGACAGAAATCATAAAAGAATCCTATCTGTTGAACTGTGATTATGAAAATCACAAAATGATGAGTTATTGACAATCAAACTGTCTATTGAACTATGATTATGAAAATCACAAAATGAAGAGTTATTGACAATAAAATTGTGCGACAAAAACTTCAAAAATTAGCAGGAAAACTTAAAAAAAAAAAATTTTGAGCGTTGGTATACTCATTCCTCAATATTAGAAAACTATTTATTCTATACTTCTTTTTTTTTCTTGCTTTGAAGGATTTATCTGACCACTTTCAATATTTTTTTGTAGATTAATTTGGACTTGGAGAGATGGCTGCATTTTTTTTCCAGGTGAAAAAAGATGGTGGAGATTGAAGAGGAAGTGATGATGATTTTAATGGAGGTTTTACATTTTTCTGTTGTTCCTGATGTTTTACTGAAAGGGTGGAGGTCTTTTCCATCATTTCCTATCCCTCATTTCTCATCTCTCCTTATGTTCTCCTTGGCAAAATGGTGTTATCCAGCTTCGTGAGTCTGGTAAAATCATATTCTTCAGAGATCATAAATCACTAGCTTTTTACTATCTTTTCTTTTTATTTTAAGAAAACTTTCTCATAAAATTCATTTTTTTTTGTTGTTGCAGGATAAGAGATTAAGATCTTCGAAGATCTGTGGAATTTGAAGAATTTGTTGCATTCTTCCCTCAAGGTGAATTTTTTTAAGTCTATTTTTAATTATACTCAAAAAGTTAATATGTTATTCTTTTGTAATATTTCTTTGCATAGATACATATGTATATCTCTTCTCGTAACCGGTGTTCTTATTATAGTAAGCGCTGCAATATTCTTCTCAGAGATTTCCTTTAAAAGATGCAAAAGGTGTTGCCTATCTACATAGAAAGCTTACCCTCTTCCACACCATTACCGGTGGATGCAGGAGGTACCTATATCTACCCAGCCAGTTGTGAGTTTTTTTAGCTTTTTCCAGATAAAGGACTTTCTTTGAAAGAATCTGTCTTCCTTAGCCAGATTCTCGAGGGCGGAGCAATCCTATGGTTAGGAACATGACACATCAATCCTCTGTACCGATGGGACCTCCTATCTCGACCTTAGGAACCTATTTGCAATTAAATTAGGAACCTAATTGAAAGAAATCAAAGGTTTTAGAGCCGTAATATAATTAATGATAAGTACAGGGATCATTATGAAATTTCGTAACCAGATTTCTTCAGCAAACAGGCCTCTGGGCCATTTCTCTTTTTTATTTGGGCTGAAAAGCCTCCCAGACCAACCAAAACCCAACTCCAAAGGAGTGGGTCAGTCAACCATTCTGACCCTAAAATAATCCAACAAACAGATGGGCTTTAACCTCCATCCAAACCCAAAAACCTCAACAAAAAAAAAAACCAAACCCACTCATAAAAACCCAACCGAATATTATTACCCAAAACCTAAACCATACTACCAAAACCCAACAAGAAAAATAAATCAACTAAAATTATTAAGCCACAATTATAACCTGAAATCCAGAATTAATCTACCGAAAGACTACTTAAAAATATAAAAGGATGATTAAAATTTAAAAAGGAGAAATTGGTTCAATTGAAAAAGTGTTTGGGCCATAGTGAAATTAATTAAAACTTGGAGGGCAAAAAGGTAATTTTTGGAAAAGAGCATGCAGCCTGTACGAATAAGCTTACTTCTTCCTGCGAATTCTTCTGCAACTTTGCTTTCTCAGCCCAGACACATTTATGCGAAGGAAACTCAAACAACAGCCAACAATTTATCAACTAAATCAACACAGAGGCCTCAACCCATTTTCTCAACAAAATTTCATAACAAAAGGTTCCATTCGAGGGATTCAAAGCTAGATATTCTTTTTTTATAAATATTCTTTTAGATAATTTAAATTTTTATAATGATCATAAACCTAAAACTATATATTCACATTTAATTAAGTAGAAAAGATCTAGCAATCTATTTTTTTTCATCAATAAATATTTAGTTTCCAATAATATTGGTAATTCTGTCAGTGTAATAATTAATTCTCTTTTTTACACTAAATTATTTCAAAATTAAGGGAAGAGATGATGAGCAATTTAAATACTAATTAATGATATGGTGATGAAAGGAAGTAATTTATGGAATATGTAAGATTTTAATAATTGTAATTTAAAAAAGGCTTTACTATAGTTATATGTAATAATTTGATAGAAAGCAGATATCATTAACATAAGATTAGTTATTTTTTAAAAATTATTTTAGATATCATTAAGATAAGATTAGTCATTTTTTAAAATTATTTTAAAATTAGGGATAATTTTTAAACATATATTATAATATTCAATATGGGTAAAAGCCAAATTACCTATAACCCGTTAATTCTCATCAATTAAGCATATCACATAAGAGTGAGAAACACTCTAATTAACTACTTTCATATATATATATATATATATATATATTCCTATATACGTGGGCCACTCCTTATTTTTTAAATTCAAAAGACACGAAAGGATATGTAACAATTTAAAAAATTCAAAATTCTATAAAAAAAAAAAGGAATGAGGAGTTATAAGAATTCCGATTTAATCATCCTAAAACCTTTCCCTGCAATACATATAGATATAGATTCGCTTAGTAGTTCAAGCTATCTTTTTTCTTTTGTTAGGGTTAATTACAACTAATTTTATTGATTACTTTCTTAGTTGAATCTACGATCCAGTCAAATAGTTTCTTTTCTTCATTTTTCAGACTCGGTGCTAGGGAAAAAGTTCACCTGCAAAAAGAATATTAAGAAACTGAAGTTGGATTTCATGTGTTTTGAAGTTATTTTTTATTTTCTCTAAATATTAGATCTTATTTTTACTGCTCTATTGTAGTTTTACTACTAAGCCTCGTATTTTGATTATGAATTATGTCTAAACAAGTTGGATATAATATCAATGAACTTCCTTTCAGCATGTTCTTGGCCATTTTGGATAGGGAAAATCATACAAAACGTTCCTCACATTTTACAAAATAATTTTTTTTGTCCTTCACTTTTAAAAATGTAATTTTATATCCCTTACAAATTCACATTTGTCAAATTTGGTTCCCACTTAGGTTTTCGACTAGTTTTTGGTCGAAATTCACCACGTGCCTTGCATGTGATTATATTTTAAGGGCAAAATTGTCAAATCAAATTTTATATAATTCAATTCATAATCCCTCACATTTCATAAAATAAATTTTGTCGTCCCTTACATTTCACAAAATGAATTTTTTCAACCTTCACATTATTCAAAACGATTTTTTTCATCTTTTATTGATCATGTGTGTGAATAATTTTT